GCCGCTTTCCCTTCTAGATCCCAGCTTTGGCCGACGCCGGCTTCAGGGTGATTGCTCTGGAGATGAAGGGCTATGGGGAGTCCACGGCCCCGCCAGGTGAGCCGAGGCGGAGGGTGGGGCTGAGGCCAGAGCTGACCACCCCAAGGTCAAGATGCAGGAGGAGATGAGTGGAAGAGCCTTTTCCTGGGGTAGGGGCGGGGTGGAAGCCGTTACGCTCCTCCTGCAGCTCCAGCAGCTCCGACAGCCGCGAAATCCATTCTCAAATCTGCCTGGATGTTAAACCGATGGCTATTATGTCTTTCCTGCAGATATAAAAGAATATTCCCAGGAGCAGATCTGCAAGGTGAGGAGCTGCAGGCCACAGCCGCGGGCAGGGAGGGCACGGTCCTGGCCAGGAGCTGACCCTTTTCTCTCCTCTTTTTCCACAGGACCTGGTGGTTTTCCTGGACAAACTGGTGAGGAGCCCCTGGCCACAGGTCCCATCTTCTTGGCGAGGTTTGGGCGCGTGTCCCCCACCCCGGCTTCCCGTCACCTCTCCTGTCCTGGCTCAGCTCCCCAGTAACTTTATCCCACACTGGGACATCGGAGCTCCCCGGTGCTTTTGATCCAAAACCCTCGGGGCAGCATGACCCCTCCGCATTCCCCACAGGCGGGTTTTTAGGGATGGGGATGTTCCTACAACCCGTTGCCAATTAGATGACCCAACTTTGGAAAGGGCTCCAGCTCAGCACCGCCTTCTCCTGGTTTAATTCCCATCCAGTCAAAGCAACGGGGCCGATTTTTGCACCTTTTTTCCAAGAGGTGAAGGAGCAGAAGGCGCAGCCCACAAACGCCAGCATCTCCAGGGCTTTTACCGGGCAAAACCGGCTTCTGAGGGAAGGAGTCCTTCAAAAAATGCAGTGCTGGAACCAAAAACAACTCAAACAAGGGGAAAAAATAAAAACCTCTGCTACCATCGGGCTCCATCCTGCTTCTCTTCTCCCCAGGGGGCTCCTCCTCCCTCCCCTGGGACAACCTGGGGTATTTTTGGGGAAGATAAATGACTTTGTGAAGCTTCAGGTGACGTTTGAGCCCATGTCTGGGATGCAGAGCGGTCCAGGTGATGGCTAAGGATGGTGGGATGAAACCCACATCGGAGGTGGGAGATGCTGGGACACCCCCCGCCAACCCCTCTGCCCTCCTTTTTTTTTGGAGGGGGAACTCA